TGTTGTACCTCTGTATGAAATAGCAGTATGCAATATGTTGGTTCTTCTCATCTGCTTTTTAGTCATCTTTTTGCTGGGAGGAATAATTATTTTAAAAAAATTTTATTATTTTTTTGCGTGTATACTGTCAAATCAGATCTGACTGGTACAGGAGGAGATTGCCCCTCCTTCTCCAGCAGAGCATCTTGTGGATTCCAACCGCATATCTCTGGGATTGCAGTATAGCTTCTTGCCACTAGGCCACCAGAGCTCCCTGGGGAGGAATATTTGATAAGATTTACACTGAAGAATGACAGTCCACTGAACCTTACATTTGAATTAGATTTGTTTGTTTAAAAATAGTATATTACAGCAAACGATAAATGCTGGAGAGGTTATGGAGAAACTGGAACCCTTATTCACTGTTGATGGGAGTATAAAATAGTGCAACCACTATGGAAGGCAGTATGGCACTTCCTCAAAAAGCTGGAAATATATCATTTGACCCAGCAATTCCACTACTGTGAATATAACTGGCATCCAAGCATATATATGCACACCCATGTTTATTGCTGTTTTGTTCACAGTAGCAAAGAGTTGGAAACAACCCAGGTGTCCATCAACAAACGAATGGATAGAGAAGCTGTGGTATATGCACACAATGGAACATTATGCAGCACTGAAAAACAGAACTCGTGAAATATTATACAGAATGGGTGACCCTGGAGGACATTATGCTGAGTGCAATATCTCAGTCACAAAAAGACAAATACTGTATAATGCCACTGTTATAAAACAGTACTGACAGGGGCGTTGGGAGGAAACTAAAGAAAAGAGGGGATCAAGACGGGAGAGAACTGTATAAAAGGAATACATGCTTAGGTATTATCGATGTGAGAAGAGTCCAGAATAAGAGCTCCATAGTAAATTGGTTGGTGAAAGGGACTGTATAACAATGAAAGAACTTTTTTCTAAAGAAAAAACTAAATGGGGGAAGGGGGCCAGGGAAGAAAATGTGCAACAATGAATGAATGGAAATCCAAGTTCTTTATAAACTTAAAATAAAATTTCGATTAAAAAAATAAATAAAACCAAATATCCCCCCAAAAAATAGTGTATTATATTTTTTCTAGATAAGTCTTCTTTATATTTTATCTCAGTGTGATACTCTGTTTTGCTCTGCAAAATCACATACTACCACAAATTAGTGTATTCATTTTTGTTCCAGTTTTGTTACATATTAATGTAATATGATACTAAGTAAATATATTTGCACATATATTCATAACCTTTATGGAGTGATGATTATTATACAAAGATTAACCATTGTATGTATTATTTTCTATTTATAACTGCTTTTAGATTTCTCAAGGTTTGATTATTTGTTTTTAAGATAAATACATGTGTAATTTTACCAGTTTTTGCCAAGTCCTTTTATTGTAGGGTTTTCCCATTTTGCACTCCTCTACTTGTATTTGGTTTATTTCCCTCGACGTGGCCATCAGATTATATTGTTAAACTTTTGAGTCTGGGCAAAAAGGACAAGTGAAAAGGAATAGTAGCACATTTATTTAAGTATTTTTGTATTATGTAAAAATTTCAAGTTGCATAAAAGTTTTATTATTAATTTCTAAAATACTTTGCTCCAGTAATTATTCAGTCTTATGTAAGAGTCCACTTTATTTAAGAGTCTAAATAATACAAATTGTGATTCATTGTTTTAAAAATTGTGGTTTGAGTGAGCGCTTATAAAACAAATTAGTTTTATATTCAAACATTTAACATTTTGTTTTGTGACATCACAGTGCCTGCAATGTAACCTCACTCTTCCTGCTTTCTCTGTTACTGTTTTTGTTAATCATTCTATCTTTCTACCTTCTATATGATCTGACTTCTGAAATTATAGCTTTTTAAAGTTTCTTTAAACCTATAGCTTTGATATAATCATTCATTACATTGTAACAATAAGCTTTGTGATAAATGCTTTTGAAAACAATTGAGAGTCAGCTGTAAATCTGTTCTGAACTTGTTCTACTATATAACAACAGCAACAACAGAAGCTCATCCTTTTGTCTTTTGATTTCCTATGGATCACTGCTCTTTGTTAAAAGTGAACTGGGGGTGAGGGGAATGAAAATGTACAACAATGAGTAAATGAAAATCCAACTTTTCTGTAAACATTCATTAAAATCAGAATTAAAAAGAAAAACAATTATTATTAAGAAACCCCCAAAGAACCAGCTTCTAATGCTATTGATTACTCTTTATTGTTTTTCTTTTTTTTTCCCTTTCTTTATTGTTTTTCTGTTCTCTATTTGTAATAATTATTTTCTGCCATCTGGTAACTTGAGTAGGTGACTGTCCTTTTTTCCAGTGTGTTGAGGTGAAAAGTACTCATAGATTAATTGGATAATATTTGTATTTCTCTGAAACGATTAGTGCCTTGAGATGTGTTCTTGTCCAAGGATGAGACAAGGAACTTTTCCTAGCATACAATAATTAGTTTACATTTTGTTTCATTCTCTCCCTCAGTTCTGTTGGCTGTTTTGTCTGTCATTTACCCTATATCTCCAAAGAGTCTTAACAGCCTTCCCTCAGTTGCCTTTGACCAAACCTCTGGATTCTTTCTGAACACCCATAGTCTTCAACTTGTCTATCTTCTATTTCAAAGGAAATATTTTTTTGGGGGGGGGGAAGAGATTTGGAGCACTCCCAAGATTTGCCTTTTCTCTGGGCATGATCTCTGAGCTACAGCTCTGCTGCTGTGGGCAGGGAAAAAGACTTGTCTTTGAATGCAGCCTCTGTTGATTGTGGGCCACTCACTCCATGAACTAGGTAGGCCATTCAGGGCCCCAGTCTCTGCTGAAAAAGGATGTTCTTACTCCTTGGTCTCACTCAATTAGGACTTCATCTTAAATGATAGCTGGAGGCAGGATGAGAAGAAATGCAGAAGGTACTTACCATTCTGGTAAGATAGACCTTCCTCTTGACAGCCTATTGGAGATCCCTGTGTTCATGATGGGAGGAGAAGAGACTGAGGTTGTTAACAGTTAGAACTAACTTAGTTCTACATCAATACTCTTGGTCCCAGCAATCAGGAAAATCTGCCCTGGGAATACTGAGATGCAGCGATGTCAGTCTGATCCAGGCCATGTTTTTTGCAATTATTATTTGTTATGCCTCAGAGAGCTGGACATTGACTAAGAATGACAGAGAATTATTGATGCCTTCGAGTTATGGTGCTAGAGAAGAGTCGTGAACATACTATGGACCGCCAAGAAAAGAATTGGTCTTGGAGAGGGTGAAACCAAGTTTCTCCTTCGAGGCTAGGATTTTGAAGTTCCATATCACATACTTTGGAACGTAGCCAGGAGGGACTGGTCCTTGGAGAAAGACGTCATGTTCAGAAGGGTAGAGGGACAGTTCAGGAGAGAAGATTGATAAGTAATTGAGGCAGTGAGGGTGTATCAGTGCCAGTGAGATTGGCTCAGGACAGGGCAGGCTTCAGAGCTATTGTACATAGTAGGATTTCTATGAGTTGCCAGCAACTCAACGGCATGTAATATGTTCGTGAGTTTCTCTCCATCTGTCTGGGACAAGGGAAGGTGGGATCATGTCTTTATTCAAATAGCACAGACTTTTAATGGCACCAAATTTTATTGCCTCCTTTCTCCAAATTCATTATTTTCTGTGCTCTTAGGCCTATTTCTAGAGTTTTTAAACTTGAGACTTTGTTGTTGATTTGATTTTTAGTTTTCACCAGTTTCATTGGGAGTATATCCACAAAGGACTCAGCTTGTCTTAAGAGACTTTGAGGGCAATTAGTTTTTTATAGATTTCATAGTTTTGATGTTTAAAGCCCTTGTTGGTCTGGTACAATATGATAACACATGTTTTTATTACCTTCTTAAGACTTTTTTCGTTAACTTCCAGTAGGAAGTTAAGGCTGGACAAATTTTAGAGACTTTATAGGTGTTTATATTACCTGACTCTTTTGTGCTTAATGTCTCTGAGAATAGGTACTTTTCCAGTTTGCAAGCATCTTTCCTTGTATGTATGCCTAAGATGAAAAGTTTTTCAGTTCCTTGGTTTTTCTGATAATAAAAAATAGCCGTACATGGTGTTTCACCCATGTCAGTCTCTCTGCTTTAAATCTAGTGTCACATTTAATAATGCCCGCATACTCCTTAAGTAGATATTGTCTCCAATATGCAGAAAAAGAACTGAGTCTTAAGTGGCTCCGTGCTTAATCTCTACATCTACTCTATACACCTTGCTAACTATTTGGACTTCCAGATAGTTTTCTTTAAATGGCTCTTGGTCATTTGAAATGTAACTAAACCAAACTGGAATATGGTTGTATGTATAAAACACACATTGGGTTTCTGAGATTTAATATAAAAAAAGTTAAATTATCTCGATTTTTAGTATTATGTACTGAAATGATATTTTGAGTGAAACATATTATTCAGATTAGTTTTGCATGTGGATATTTACTACTTTGGTGTAGTAAAAATGTGGTTATGTATATGACTTATTTTCATAAAGTGTACAGTGCTTAGATTCTGTATTCTTCTAAGCAGAGTTATTATGCTCTATAATGTAGGAAAATGTGAAGATTATAAAAAATAATATAAACGTATCTAACTTTAAAAATCAGCTAATTTTCTTCCTTTCATGCAGTTGAAAAACATGAGTTATGTTTTTCTAAAACCATTATTAAAATAGTTTACATTATTTACTATATGCCTGTTACCAACTTTTCTTGCCTAGTAGTATTTAGTAAGTTGATTTTGTTTGAATGGTTGTATACTTTTAAATTTGTCAGTTTTTAGAAACTTCAAAAGTTATTAAATGACAGGGCAAAGCATTTGTAATGGTTGTATGTAGAACGTTCATCTTTTGAATTGCTCTGTCACAAGTCAGAGCAATTCTGTTAAAAGAATCTTGTCAGTGTAAACATTTTTGTGATGTATATCTGGTTTCATTTTGTAAACATGAATTTAATGGCATTTTTACAGATGATGACTTTGATCAGTTTGATAAACCTGGTGCAGAACGGTCCTGGAGAAGAAGAGCTGCAAATGAGGACTGGGATAGGTAAGTAAAATGCTCTTGATTTTATGTTATGGTAATCTGTGCAGCTTTCCCCCCTTCTCCTTTGTGGCTGTGTAGAGCTCTTTATGATGATCTTTTATGAGTAGGTCTATGTTTGAAGGGCAGAAGCAAGGGCAGATAGAGCTGTTCCACTAATAGGCTGTTTAATTGGCTTCAAGTTTAGGCTTGGATTGCACACGGGACAAAAGCAAAGAACTTTCTTGTCTCAGTTTATTTAGGAATTTTATATAGAGATCATCCTGACATTGTATTGCTGTCACATTATTCCAGTAGTTGTATGGTTGTGTGAAAATTCCTTTTTTATTGCCATAACCTTGTTAATACTGTGTTAAGGCTTGTGTTTTTGCCATTTTATTACCTATAATATTACATATATCTCACTGTAATGCTAATTTTTATTTCCATATGTTTTAAAGAAAATTCTTTTAAGAGTTAGCATATTAAACATATTAAAACATTTCTGGAAATAATTTTTTTTTAAATTTAGATTGTTTATTTTTCATTTCAATGAACATCTACAGAGATTTTGGAATTCCATTCATTCATTGTTGCACCCTTCTCCCCACACAAACCTGGAAATAATTTTTAAATTTAAGGAATTATTGTAAGAAAAGCACAAAGAGCTTCCAAATGTCCTTCCATCAGATTCATTAGTTTAGTTGCTTTTTATAATATTCATGCTATGATTCTTTTTATGTATAATACCCTTTATGTATATTTATATACACTGTATAATATAAATATGTATTTACTAATTATGGGAGCTCTGCTGGCCTAATGGCAAGAGGCTGTGCTGCAATCCCGAAGGAATGCGGTTTGAATCCCATCAGCTGCTCCATGGGAGAAGGATGGACAATCTCCTCTCATACCGTTAACTGCCTCTGAAAAACCCACTGGAGGATCAGCTATGGGTTGGTTCTGACTTGATAGTATACAACAACAATTTATGAATTATAATTATATATAAAATATAGAAGGAGTGCTGGTAATGTGGTATATGTTGGGGGTTTTTTGGGGGGTTTGTTTTTTTTTTTAAATTAGTATTTTGAATCCACCAGTGCTCTGTGGGGGTAAGGCACATAGTCTCTACTCTTAAGGATTTCTAGCCTTGGTAGCATTATGGAGGATTTCCGTGAGTTGGTATCAACTTGATAATAATAAGTTCTAGAATAATATATAATACATACACCACACACACACATTATATATTAATTATAGGGAGTCTGGTGGCTTGGCTTATTGATAAGGAGTTGCAGTGCCATCCCAAAGGCACACAGTTCAAATTCACCAGCTGCTCCACTGGAGAAAGATCCTCCTATGCTATTAACTGCCTCTAAAAATCTGCTGGAGAGTCAGCTTTGAGTTAGTTTTGACTCTTCAGCACCACGACGACCACATATGGAGTTATATACATATCAGTTGATTTTGTCATTCTTTTAATCTCCATTTTTGTATACTTTTATACATAAGCACACTTTTGTGTACATACATGCACACTTGTTTGTATGTATGTACGAACACTCATTCTCTCTCTCTGTGTTGTGTACTTACTATCTGACTTTAAGAGGCATATGATGTTAAGTAAAGTGATTTCTCTCTTTATTTTTTAAAAAGTCTGTCTTCTACCCTGAGGTCAAAAATACTCTGTATCTTTGTATATTCTATGAACTCTTTTTTTTTATTGTTAAATTTTTTTGTTGTTGTTACTCTGTGAACTTAAAAAATTACATTAGATATATACTCTGCCTAGAATTGAATCACTGATTAATTTTGAACTTTTTATGGGAGAATAGAGACAATATTATATAATAGTATAATCATCTCAGTATGCTATATCATTCATTGTCAGTGATGTAGCCAGTCTTGTTCTGTCAGTACACACAGTCTGCAATATCCTTGAGTCACAGACCTGATTCTGTCCGAAAAATACCTTGGAGTATATTTCTCTAAGAAATAAAAGATTACAAAGAAAACCACAATAGAGGTAACGTTACCACATATGAAAAACAGTTCCTTAATATTGATAATGGTCTTGTTACTTTCATGTTTCTCTGTTTTGTATGTACAATTAACGTTTAGATATATGAGTTTATTGTGTATACCTATACACAGTGTGGATAGATACTTTTTATGTGGAGATCCAAATAAGATCTTGTTGTGGTGGTAGTGTACCGTCAAGTTGGAACTGACCCATAGCTAAACCTCTGGCAGGTTTTCAGAGGCAGTTAATCAAATGGGAGGGGGTTGTCCATCTTTCTTCTGTGGAGCAGCTTCAAACTGCATGCTTTTGGGATCGCAGCACAGCTTCTTCCCACTAGACCACCAGAGTTCCCTATAACATCTGTATACATACTATGATTAATTTTTGTGTCTTTTAAATGTTGTTCATTTATAGATTCTCCCCTCATCCTTGCTACTTACTGTTGAATTAACAGGTAGTTTGTCATGTAGAATTTTTGTCTTTATTGATTGCATCCTTTTAGGTGTTTTTCACATGCTCTTCCATCCCTTGTATTTTCTCTCTAAATTAATAGATTGAGAGATTGATCAGATATAGATTGGAATTTGGAAGGGGTTGGTGGCTGTTTGTGAAAGATTGAAGGTTCAGGCCCGCTTAGTGGCTGCCTTGAAGAGAAACTTGCTGGTCTCCTCTGATAGATTGTTCATTCCCAGTGACTTGATGCTGACTGATAGCAAGCAGTCCTGTGTACATCAGAATGAAACTGCCTTGGCTCTGGAAATCCTGTCTACTCTGTCACGTGAGGTTGCTGTGAATTGAGATTGACATAGCATACACAACAAAAAGAAAAGAAATCTTCAGTGGTGTGTATCTCATCAGGAAAGATTATCTGATGCCTGGTTAGCTTCTTCTTGTAATGCTATGGAGTACCTGGGTGATGCAAATAGTTAAACAGTAAGCCACTAGTTGAAAGGTTAACATTTTGAACCCACCCAGAGGTGCTTCAGAAGATAGACTGGAGCTCACAACTATGAGAACCCTATGGTACATTTCTTCTCTGCATGGAAAGGGTCCCCATGAGTCAGGATCTACCAAGCAGCAAATATTTGCATGATTCAAAGGGCAACATCCTATTATTCCTTCATTTATTTGCCAATTTTCTTTTTTAAAAATTTATTATTGTTGTTGTTGTTATGTGCCGTCGAGTCGCTTGTGACTCATAGCGACCCTATGCACAACAGCTTTAAACCCTGCTGTATCCTGTGCCAATCGCACTGCCTCTGACACACCCATCCTGATTACCCCAGTCCCTGAATCAGTCTACCTCATAGAGGGTCTTGTCCTCTTGCACCGTCCCTCGACCCTCTCAAGCATGATGTTCCTCTCCAAGGACCTGTCCCTCCTTACAACATGTCCACAGTATGTCAGATGAAGCCCCAGAATCCTTGCCTCCAAGGAGTAGCCTGGTTTAATCCTCTCCAGGATGAATCTGTTTTCTTGGCGGTCCATGGTATATTCAATACTCTTCTCCAGCACCACAGCTCAAAGGCATCAATTCTCCTTCTATCCTCCCTAGTCATTGTCCAACTCTCTG